TGAGCACTAACACCTGGTCAAGCATTCCATAGTTACCAGGGGAAGCCTCGTCTTCGGTGGCCAGGAATCCTTTGAAAAAGATTTATGGTTTCTGGCAGATTAAACGCGCATAGAATGCATACTGCTGTAGTAAGGGTCTTCTGTGCCGCCAATTGGTGTTGATTGACATTGATTGTGTTATAGTAACTTGTTTATTGACTTTATGTTACTACGTTAGACCATGTATGTAAGAGGTTTAAGGGTGTAGGAAAGAGTGGTTTAAATTAATAGGTAGCAAGGATGCGATAGTGACTAGAATATCAACAGATAGAGAGCTATGGTGAGACCAGGGTAAGAGAAAGATTGCGAGTATGTTAAAATATTGACTATAGAATATATAATACCTAATACGACGAGATAAAATAATACCTAGGGCGTTGAGACGGTAATTGCAGGTGACAACTATGACATCCCTCCTCACTAGCTCCTCTGCATGGTACTTAGACTTTGACACACCTCCTGTCATGAAACTACCGCCATGGATCCACACCATAACTGGAAAACTCTTCCCAACCGTCGAAACCTGCCACATATACAGACGGTTGATGGTTACAAACAGGCAACCACGATTCACATCACATCACAACCAATTTTGTCTTCGTTTATTAAAAATTTCTTACAGGGAACAGAACGAAGGAACGAAAGCAATCTGGTTGTTACACTTCATCCACCGAGTTCGATTAGACTGAATTCGGCTGTTTCTTGTACTAACATCAGGGGAGTACACGTTCAGAGTGAGGCAGTTCTCGCTGTATGTGCCGTCAGAAGGGATCTCAAGTGTAATAATATCCAGTTGAAGGCAGGCGGCGCCAAACTGCGATGCATCGAAGACACCGTTCCATGGCTCGGCTGGAGAAGGGGCCTGCAATAATAGGCTTTGGTGTTACAGACACAATTTCCTACATAAATAATGGTAGAAGCCAGCATGTGCGACACCGTCCCAGTACAACAGTAACAACGTAACATCAATTGTTTAATCATTGTATAATTACTTAAATTATCATAGCTGTATATAAACAGCAAACGGTTTATTGTAACTTCACTTGTTCATCTCACTCTGTATAACTACTGAAAATATATCTGTATGTAAATAGCGCGAAAGATTGCACAAGTCTCACCCTCGATTCTGACCATATACCGATCTCGGCTACTATACGTATATAATAATAACAAATTATACAAAACAAGATGTGATGCAAACTCTTGTTGCTATTTCCACGTATCAAGAACAAGCTCCACCTTCCATCTGAGGTCGCCAACTGGTGGAAGAGCGTATGGTATTCCCCTGAACACATCCACTGGTGTACCATCGTGTGCACGACTTGTAATTCCTTCTACTCTGCCCAGTGTAGTCGTGACGATAGGACCCGCACGCACAGACGCCGTCGGCCACACGATGGTGAAAAATGCGACGTAAATAAGCAACAACATTCTGACGAAACACGGGCGTATCGCGAATGTACTTACAACATTCACGGCTTGATATTTCAGACAGACGGCTAGAGATCCCTCACTTTGCCCTTTGGATCTCTGTGACCATTCACAATTTACCAAGATTTTGTTTAATCTGCAGTACCCATATGAGATAAATCAGATCAATCGTTGGTAGTACGGCCTACCATCACTTACTGCATGGACCTATCGGATAGGTAGATACGTGTTATTTGGCAGCTGGAAGCAAAATAAACGAAACAGCTACTGTAACCAAAGCAAGAAGCTTGTTAGAAAAATATTAGGTGTTATCAGTAGTGTGGACCTATCACTTATGGAATATATCTACTGAGGACTCTGCTTATAGATAGCTCAGCTGTTCAAGTTGCATGGCACACACAGTACAACAGATCTCACAAATGCACTACGATACCCAACGATCATTGGCACCTACATAGCGTAGTAAATACCCCCCGGACAATCACCCCCCGGACAATTACCCCCGGACAATCACCCCCCGGACATTTACTCCCGCGACAAATTACCCCGGACAATTAACCCCGCGACAATTACACCCCGGAATTACCCCCGGGACAATTACCCCCGGACATTTACCCGCCCCGACAATCACCCACCCGGACAATTAACCTGCGAACAATCACCCCCCGGACATTTATCCGGACAATTACCCCCGGACCTTTAGAGGAGAGATATAGAGACGACGGAGAAGGTAAGTGGAGGAGAGGAGTAGAGGGGGAGAGGAGGAGGTAGAGGAGGTAGAGAAGGTGCAG